GTCCAAACGCAAAGGAGAAAAGTATCCTCTCAATCTCAACCGAATTCGGGGTAAACAGGCTATATGTCTGTTGACAAAGGCGAAATCTAACGAAAGCTGGTTGTGGCATCGCCGACTTTCACACCTGAACCTCAATGACATTAATAAACTTGTGCTTGGTGATCATGTTCGGGGTATTCTTGTTCTTATGTTTGAAAAGGAACACTTGTGTGCAACATGCGAGATGGGCAAGCAAAGCAGAAAGAGCCATCCTACTCGTATCAACTCAAAGATCATTAAACCGCTTGAACTTCTACATATCAACTTGTGTGGGCCTTTAGCTATCGAAAGCATCAGTGGTAGTAAGTTCATTCTTGTTATAGTAGATGATTTTTTCCGCTTAACCTAGGTTTTCTTTCTTAAACAGAAATCAAAGGCAACTCCCAAGTTGAAATCATTTATCAAGCAAATGGAGCTGCAACTGCAGAAAGTGGTGAGGAACATAAGAAGCGACAATGGGCTTGAGTTGAAAGGCGAAACCGTTCCTTGTGTTAAGTAGCCCGAACCATGCTAAGCTTCACTTCTCTTCCACTCTATTTCTGGGCTGATGCCATTGCAACTGCATGCTACACTCAGAACAGATCCTTCCTCAACAAAAGATTCTCAATAACTCCTTATGAGATTCTGAACAATCGTAATCCCAATGTGAAGTTTTTCCACGTTTCTGGTTCTAGATGATTCATTTTCAATTCTAAAGAGAACCGAAACAGGTTCGACACAAAACCGTGCGAGGGGATATATCTTGGTTATTCGCTTACATCAAAGGCATTTAGGGTTTTGACTAAATGCTCTAGGAATATTTAAGAAATCTACTATGTGACTTTTGATGACAATTATACAAAGAAGATTCAAACAAGCGAAGGTACTATAGAAGATAACTTTCCAGAATCCGGTCAAATCTCGGTTCCTATCTCCAATCTGTTTGAAGAATATATATGCTACTTTTTGATGAACCAGAGAAGGCAATAAACTCTGAAGAGAAAGCAGCAGATAACAATATCAGCAACCTTAAAAAGATCATCGATGATGCTGCAAAGGAAATGGAGGGTGATCATCAAACACCAACCGAAACTCAACCATCTAAAAACCCTCCAAGTGAAAGTTATACATTAAAAGGGGAAGGTTCATCGGTACTAAAAGCAATCGAAATGCCTTTTGAGGGGGAGAATCCATTTCCTACCACGACCAATGATGGTCCAACTGAGGGGGAGATTCCTGAACCCGATATGAACTACACTTCGCCATTTGAGGGGGAGAATGAAAATACAAATCACGAAAGCGAACAATTGGAACTTGAAGAAGAAGTAAATGCTGATTTGGATCCTGTTTATGACCCGAACTACCTTCCTCTTATGAAATGGATAAAGGATCATCCCAAAACGCAAATAATTGGTGAATCATCTAAGTGAGTTCTCACACGCTCCCAAGTTAAAGAAAAACAAACCGCTTTGTTCTCACAAGTTGAGTATTGTACATTTAATTCGTTTGTCTCCAAGATTGAACCAAAGACAGTCAAGGCTGCCCTTGATCACTGTGACTGAGTGCAACCATGTCACATACATGTTCTGAAATTGTGTATTGTTATTATTAAAAGTGAATAAAATTTACTGTTGAGTTCTAACAGCTAGTTTTTACTAGAAAGCAAGTAAAACTATGTTTATAATCACTCAAAAAATATTAGAAGTCTTATGAGATTCCAATTAATAGCCAAATAGTGAAATTTAGTGAAAAAATAAAATTTGAAATAAGTAAAATTTTATTATTTGATGTTGTAAATCATCTCGTTGGAAACTTGTAGGCAAAAACCTCGTCGAAATCCGAGTTATAACGAAGAAGTTATGACCAACCGAAGATCCGCGACAAAACCGGCACGGTGCCGAATGACGTAAAAAGTGAGTTTTTGATAAACTACTTTTTATCCTTATAAATTTAAATTAAAGTCGTAGTATTCGTTAAACCGAGAAATTCGATAAAAAGAACGCCAAAATCTGACTTCATATGAGGAAGTTATGATTTTTCGAAGTTTCAACTTAGCAGTAGACAGCTAAAAACTCGAATTTTAGATCGAGTGATATTTTATCGATACATCCTAAATGAGAATCGAAGGTCTCGTCATTTGTAGTATAACGGTAAAAAGTCTGACGAAAACGGATGTCGGATGAAGAAGTAATGAATTTTTAACGGATTTTCCTGTCCCGGTCTGTTAAAAATAATAATATTAAAAATAAATTCAAAATTAGCCGACGAAGTCTAAACAAAAGTAATAGAGCGTAATTTTAGCTACGCGTGCATATAAAGAACGTCAAAATCGGAGCTCGTATGCAAAAGTTATGGATTTTAGAAGTTCGGGGCACATTTTCCGAAAAAATTTCGCATGAATTGTATCGGCCACGTCACCTCGCACGAAGCAGGTGCGTCACCGGAGACGTGGCCAAATCCGAAGTCAGCAGGTGTCACAAGAGGATTCGCCGAGGCTGAGGTCCAGCAGGAAGGGGACACATCTCGCATCGGTGGATAGTCCGACGCGAGACACGTCTCGCCTACCCGCCTCGCACCCGGTGCCACGTCTGAGCCTCGCAGCGGCCTCGTGGCCTTCGCCCCTCCTGCCAGATGTCTGAAGCTCGCAGGTACACATCTTCTCCACTCCTCTCGCTTCATGTCCTTCGCTCCAGCAGCCACGTCGTCGCTTATCAGCCACAGAATCCAAACCTCGCCCCTATAAATAGGAGGGTGCGAACCCTCCCGGCTAGAATTGGGAAATTTCCATTTTTGGCCCCTTTTTCCATATTTTCACTATTTTGACTTTTCCCGAAGCCCCGGTATCAATTTTAGCACCCGAAACACGTCCCGGACCCCCGAGAAGCCCGAAAATTTTATATTTCTGGTTTTAAAGCCCTACCTTCGCAGAGCCTGGTTTTCAATTAAACTCCCGGTTTTCAACATAGAAAGTCATATTTAAAGCCGAAATGTTGTTCAAATTACTATTTTAACCCCCGGTTAACTTAAGGTGAGTTCAATATATAGGAACAACTGTATGTTATGTGTTATATGGGCTATGTGCTTCTCAGTGTTATTATTCTGAGTTATTCTCCCGTGTTATTTTATTCGCTATGTTTATAGCAATTATAATACCTTTGACCATGTGATCAGTGAAAGGACTTAGATTCACATTGGTACTGGTACGTAGCCTCTGGCCATGTAGAGCATGTCTCCGTAAGAGAATGAGTTCTATTCTATGGCATTGGCATAAGGTTTGATAGGAATGGTATGTAGCCTCTGACCATGTAGAGCATGACTCCGTAAGAGAATGAACTCTATTCTATGGTATTGGCAAATGGTTAGACAGGGCTATAAGCCTGAAATCTACCTAAATGTTAATCAGAAATTGTAAGTCTTCTGTGTCAACTGGGCCAAAGCTTTATTGATGCATATCAAGTATTGAAATCGTTATGTCTCATTGAAAAGTATATCTTTGAATAAAGTCTTTGATTGATATGAACGCTTGTCACATGATTTCACATATGTCTTCTTGTTCCCTTCTGCTTCTATCATATTGGTATATGTAAGGCATAAGATTATATTGTATCTATCTATTGAATTTACTAAGTGTTATCGCTTATTCCTCCCAATATTTAACAATTGCAGGTGATGAGTATTCCAACATAGCTTTATACTACTGAAAGATTTAGAATAGTTAATAGTGTTTCTCTGTATTTTTAATGTTCATGTATGTATATGAATAGTAGATTCCTGGGTAGACATGAAATGTAATAAAACTTAGTCGGTTTGTATCCAATCCTTTGTAATCACTTTATCAATATAAAATATTGTTTTATAAATATGCATGTAGCATGTTTTGAGGAAGTAACTTAAGAAATCTTTTGAAATAGTATGAAAGTTTGGGTCTTTCATAACACTACAGCAAAATGAAGCTATTGCAACACCCATAAAGTGTTGTATTATGTCTTAAAAGTGTTGTCTTATGCCTAATCCAACACTTTGAGAAGTGCTGCCTTAGGTCTTGTTGCCTTAGGTCTAAAGCAACACTTGTTTTAGAATATGCCACACTTTTCGGAAGTGTTGCATGTATTTTATAAGTGCAACACTTTTATGGTGCAACACTTTTTTCCCAAAAATGCAACGCTTTTTCAATATTTTCACTATCGTACAACAACACTTTTACCTATCATATGAAACAGTTTTTACACCATATGCAACCCTTTTTCATTACTATCTAGAACCTATACCAACAGTTTTTTTATCAACCGCAACACCTTTTTTCACGTTGTATATGTGCAACACTTCTCTCTATTTTCTACAACACTTTATTATGTTTGTTAAATACAAATGGCAACACTTTCCAAGATTTAGCAACACTTAGTAGTGGATTTCCTAGCGCTTTTGCATCACTCAATACAAATGTTATAATATGTATTACAAAAAATTTCAATTCTAGAAATAAAAACCTTTCATAGATAACGTCATATTGTAACTTGATACATATGTCCAAACTCAAAGTGATAACCATATAATAAACAGTAAATACAAAAAGTGTTTGTGAAAACCATGAAATATATTAAACTACTCAATTTGTATTTCGTTTCTTCTTCTATTTGATCATATTGCCCTTCTCCAATTACCACTTCACATGCCCAAAGACATTGTAACCTGGTATAGATAAAAAAAAATGTTAGGCGTTTATTTAATTAATCTATATATATATATATATATATATATATATATATATATATATATATATATATATATATATACAATCAATAATATTTTCCAAATTAAGTGATGGAGATCAACCACCAAACTTCAAGTTGGAGTTATTTTCAATAAACAAAAAGTTAAATTCCAACCTCTTTAGTTTGGAATTTAGTGGAGTGAAGGGTGTTGGATTAATGGTCTTCAACTAAAGATATAAGTCTTACCTTGTACCAAACATGGATGATAACTCATGTTAAGAACTCTCGAGCAACTCCAGCAGGTAGTTTCTCTATAAGCCTTTGCATCGCATCTTCAACTACTTTGTCAATATCATTCCGCATAGCTTCTAACTCAGCTTTTTTTCTCGCATGATCCTCTTCTAACTCATCCATTTTTCTTGCATGATCCTCGTCTAGTTCTTTTCGCATATCAAGCAATTGATCTTTTTCAGCATTCGCTCTAAGTGAGTCCATAAGCTCTCGTGGGACCATATAGGACGTGCCATCACCATTCACCTTATTCATCAACCTATTAGTAACACCTCTTCTGAAAAGTCTACGGTGTCCATCATACTCTTTTCCCATTGTAGCTAAAAAAGGATCTAATGGAGCACTTCCATCTTCTGAAGGTTTATAGTTCTTCATTTGTTCCTTCAAATCATATTCAGAAAGAAAAAGTTTACATAACTTATAATGAACTAATAAAAATAACCAATACGAAAAAAAATTATGTTCTTACTATCTTATTTGCGGTATCATCATATGTATCAACATATTTATTTCCTACTATCCTTCTGGGTGTGCGCTCAAACATTTGGGCTAAGGTAGGTGGTTCCTTGTTAGGGTCATCATTCATCTATAAAATTATGTAAAAGAAAAAAAAAATACTATCAAAGTTGAAATTAAGGACTTAACATAAACTAATGATGACCATTTTTGTAAATTTGCATCTCCTGCAAAATATAAGGGTAGTAAAGAGACGCTATACCATTTCCTCATGAATTCTAGCAAAACTTTTTGGTCCGGCTGTGTGCATATTCTTTTGAGACATGCGTACATCCTTGGCGATCAAACAACGCTTCTACACCACAAAACAACACTTCAGTATGAACAAAAACTAGTAAGAAAACTATTTAGCAAACAATACCATCACAACTTTATTATTCCATAAGCTCAACAATTGTTGAAAATCCTTTTCTGGAATATTTTTAGGTCGATTCTTCCATCTTGTTTTGTTATCCTTAAGCATATAGAAGTGTTTTTTTCTTGGTCCTACATTTATATCCCCTCCAGCATTCCCCAATTGTCCTTAGAACCCACTTTTTAGCATTCTCGGGAACAATGTATTTTTCCTTGAAAAATATAATACTTTAGTAAAAAGAATATATGATTCATAAACAAAATGAATAAAACTATTAAAAACCTTACCAACACAAACTCCCACATCTTCTCCTTATGTGGTACTTTGCGCCATTCTTTATATGTTAATGGAGCATAACTATAAGTACGAGCTATTGTACCCAAAAACCGCGAAAATTGCCCTACTATGTCCTTCTCCTTAGTTACAGGTCCAATGGGTTGTCCAAATTTATTGCATATAATGGCCTCACGTTCATTGAAATTTCGTACTTGCACACCATGCATCATTGTTGGCCCTCTTTTCTTGGTAATAGAAAGTTCTAAATCCAAATGTATAAATTATAATATGTCAATATTTATATATACCGTAGTATTGTAAAGATCTTATTGCAAGTATTCATATATACTTAGTTGTAATGTTATATTAATAAAAGAATAAGTTACATGTCTAGGGGCTTTTATGTTATTTTAGTCTTTTACTGTTGCAAAGAGTATAAATAGAGCAGAAGTTAGTGAGAAGGGGGTTTTTGATTGTTTTAGGAAACCATTTCCTTTTCGGAGAGTCTATCCTTTTTAATGACAAAATCATTCACCTAATATTGAATCTGATGTGCCGTAAGTTGTGAGTATAAGATATAGAGCGTAACAATCTGTCGATTCCCTTTCAGTGAACTAGTACTATGTATTTGTGCATTAGATATTGGAATTGATCAATCTGGTTGCTGAGAATGCAAAAAAAAAAAAAAAAGCACAGTAGAGTCGAAGGATAACAACGAATTCACCTCATATTAATGACTAGAGCAAATAGACAGATTAAGCAAATACACATACACATTATACTACTGAGCAAATAAAAAAGAAACGTCAAGAATATGAGAATAAGGAATGAAAAACTTACGAACGGCGGAGGAAATACAAGGAGAGAAAGACACCGGTGTAGTGATAGAGCGCCTTTGTCAATCGCCGATCAATTGTAGTTGCATGATCGTAAGTATTAGATAGAGGCTCTAGGGGTATGACGGTTGCTGAACAAAGAGGGAATAAAAATTAGGATCGGCGCCATGATATGTGCATATTTAGTGTGTATTAAGTGTAGTTTATTTATTCATATATTCGCTAAATTGTTGCATATTATGGACAAAAGGTAATTAAAAGTGTTAAATTATGTTTTTCAGTCCAAAGATGAAGCTCGGAAGCGAAAGGAAGCAGGAGAAGCGGTTAGGAGCTCAAGAGTGGAAAGAAGAAAGAAAACACCCATAAAAGGCTTCTACTCGTCGAGTTGACCCTTGACTCGACGAGTCCGGTCGCGGAATCAGAAGGATAATCATTCGGAAGTCAAGATAGTGATCGGATTACGAAGAATGTGAGAGGGACTCGACGAGTCACCTTATGACTCGACGAGTCGGAACAAATATATAAAGATAACTCTACAATTCGAGAAGGGAGAATTCTGGGAAGTTTCAGAAGTACTTAGCTGCGAATAAGAAGTCAGAAGAACCCTAGAAGTCGACCAAGGAAGCTAGAATCCAATCCCGGGAGTAATTAAGGCATAATTTCACCATTCTACTTAATTCTTTTGTTTTGTCAACATGATTAAGCAACTTGAACTTATTTGTTTGCTGATATTTACCTTAGTTATGAACTAAATTCTTTAGACTTCTGTTTGGGAATACAAAGTTGACAATATGGTTTGATTAATTGGTAGGATTAATTCCAAGTTGGTGATTAATTGTTATTTTAGCTTGCTAAAGAACCTTGTGTATGAATGATAATTAATTTTCTGTTAATAGGAAGATAATTGATTAGCATGAACATCTATTGATTATCAACCTCATATGATATGTGACCACTATACCATATGTTTAGAATTAATGAACATGAAACTAGGATTAATAAGGAAATTGAGTAAATTCATGTGCAAGCTTGTAAGACGACCATCAAACAAGAGGTTAATTAAGAATAACGAATTAATTAGCTATTGCAAGTCTAACTTAACCCGAATAATTAATCTAGTAAATATAATTAAATTAAGCAATTGGCCACTGTTTGAATTAGTTTATTTGCTAAGGATTAGGGTAGTGAACACAAACCTAATCACTTGAATCGGTAACCAACGAAATAATTAATCCATTGCACTATTACCTTAAAATCAACCATAAAGTTAACCGAGTTGAACTAAACAGAAGTTTCTTTCCCATTATTGAATCTAGTTAATTTGTTCTTTTCTAGTCTTGCATTAGTTTTAGTTAGTAAGTTTCTAGTCTTGTAAAACTAGAGAAAAACCCCTTATTTGCTTAATCAACTTAGATAGAATTAGTTTTTAATTTAATTTGCCGTTCCCTGTGTTCGATACCCTCCTTATTTAGCTATACCACAATTGATAGGTTCACTGCCTTTTGTGTGTTATTTGATAATTAAAGTAGGATTAAAACTAAGTGAGTTTTACACACATCAAGTTTTTGGCGCCGTTGTCGGGGAACGGTTCTAAAATTAGCATTAAAATTCTAATTCGATCGATCCTTTGTGTAAAATTTATCTTACACAAAGTTAATTTCTGTTTCATTTTTGTTTAAGTTTTTAGTTATAAAAAAAAAAAAAAAAAAAAGCTGATTTTAACTTGATCTCGCCGAGTGCATTCGCCCCGACTCGGCGAGTGCAACGCTGAATCAGATTTAAATTTTTGTTCTTTTTTACACGTTTTGCTTTGTTTTTGTTTGCAGTTGGTTCATGACCCGAGGATCTGCTACGCCTCTAGTTCCCCCTCTTGAAGATCCGGAAACCGCATTAAGAAGAAACAAGGGAAAAACCGTTGGAGAAACCGCTTCTTCAAAGAACTCACCACTCAAAAACCTCAAATCCGTTTTTAGCAAGAAAAGGAGCAGCAAATCAGGAGCATCCAGTGCATCGTTGACAACCGAAGATCCGATCCCAAAAGACACCGATTACGAGACCGAAGAAGAAAGCGAGCACACGTCCGAGTTTGAAGACGACTTAGCCACCGCTATGGCTAATATTGACGAAATCCCCATGGGGGAGTGGAAGAAAAGGATGCGTGATGACACCGGCCCGGGACTTGTGCAACCCGCAATCCCCGCTACCGCTACGTTTGAACTAAAGGGCCATATTCTCGCTCAACTCAAGGAGATACCTTTTCACGGGAGAGATCATGAAGACGCCTATAAGCACTTAGATGAAGTAAATGATGTGGCGGATTACTTCAATGTACCTAATGTGCCCCACGAGATCCAGCTACTACGCATGCTTCCTGTCACATTTAAAGGAGCTGAAAAGGATTGGTTGAAGTCACTCCCTCCCGGATCGGTTACCACATGGGCCAAAATGAAAGAAGAGTTCATAGATCACTTCTGCCCACCTTCCAAGATAGCCAAGCTAAAGAAAGCCATTGCCAACTTCGAGCAACAACCCGGTGAATCCCTTTATGAAGCTTGGGAAAGATACAAGAGCCTACTTCGAAATTGCCCCCACCATGATCTCAATAGCCAACAAGAGGTCTCTATCTTTTATGATGGGGTAAATGTCACCACAAGGCAACTACTCGATTCACAAGGCCCACTCACCCAAAAGCCACCTCCGGAAATAAAGGAGTTAATTGAAGAATTCTCCAGGCACTCTAGAGAATACCACAACCCGAGGAATGAAGTGAGTCGTGGAGCAGTAAACTCGGTAAACGATGGTATGGCGGCGGTGATAGCTAAACTCGATAGCCTAGACCGAAGAATGACGAAAATGGATCAAACGATCCATGCTATTAGAGTTGGATGCGAAAATTGTGGCGGTCCCCATCTTACCAAGGAATGTGATCGAGACGAGAATGGAAATAAAAAGGCTCAAGTATTCTATTCCAGCGGCGATAGATACGATGAAGACTGGAGGAAACCGAAGAAGGAATGGCTCCCATACGAAGAGTACAAAAAGGCTAAGGAGGAGAAATACAAACAGAGGGAGAGGGGATATTATCAAAAGGAAGAACCGGTGACGGACAAGAAGCCGAATTTAGAAGATATACTTACAAGATTCATAACCGCGTCCGAGAAAAGACATAATGATCATATGTGGCAATGCAAGAAACCAGAAACATGTTGAGGAATCAGCAAGCTTCCATTCTCAACATTGAGAAACAGCTGGGCCAACTTGCACATCAAGTAAACGAAAGAAGACCGGGCCAACTTCCGAGCGATACCCAGCCCAATCCAAGAAATGAGAACGTGAGCGTAATAACCTCCAGCGGTGAAGAAAAATTTACAGACACACTAAGAGTCTCCAAAAGAAGGCAGAAAAGGAAGAAAAACCAGAACCAGGAAAACTCGATCAGACTCGCCGAGTCACCATAATGGACTCGACGAGTCCAGTCGGAATGAAGATATTGCCAGTTTTCTGAAGCCATACAATCCTCCTTTGCCATACCCAACCAGAGCCATGCCTTCAGAAACAGTTCAAGACTATAGAACCTTCATGGAGCACGTTAAAGCTTTACAAGTCAATATGCCATTTGTGGACACAATGCTCCAAACTCCTAAATACTTTAACTTGCTTAAAGGCCTTTTTGCTGCTAGGAAAGATCTTGCTGAAATCGCGGAGATATTGATGAGTGAGCTGCCTGAGAAGAAGGGTGATCCGGGTAACATAGTAATTCCGTGCCAATTTGGTAATGAAGTTTCTACACGAGCATTGGCTGATTCAGGTGCAAGAATTAATTTGATGCCCTATTCATTCTTTAAGAAGCTGAATTTACCAGCACCAAAGCCGGTAAATATGAGAATCCATTTGGAAAAAAAAAACAATAATTCATCCACAAGGCATAAGTGAAAATCTCCTTATCAAGGTGGACAAGTTTATTTTTCCAGTAGACTTCGTGGTGGTGGAAATGAAAGAAGACCCCGAAATACCAATTATTTTGGGAAGATCATTCTTAAACACCGCATGTGCCCTAATTGACATATGTGAGTCTACATTGACATTAAGAGTGGGTGATGAGTCGGTGATGTTTAAAGCTAATACAGAGGTCAAGCAAGAAGAAGAAAAGAGAGAAGAAATCTCAATTATCCAATGGGATGATGAGGTATTACAAAAAGAGCTTGAAATTTTACTAAAAGAAGACCCAAGTAAGTTCACGCTACACTCAGAAGAAGTTGAAGATGCTAACAAAGACTTGGAGGAGCTAGAAAAGCTACTGGAAGGAGCCAACTCAGACAACACTCCAGAATTGATGGAACCCGATCAGACTCGCCGAGTCACCATAATGGACTCGACGAGTCCAGTCGATTTGG